AACTATTAAAAGTCAAAGCCTTTCCATTACCTGTTAAAAATAAAAACACTTTGAAGCCATGAACATAACGATAAGCAGAATCATGACCAGCCATTCCCTGAATGAGGTTGTGAGGCCGGGGAATTAATTGAAACTGGAGAGTAATTCTTTTTTCCAGCTCTGTACATGCTGTGGCCAAGGCAATCTACAATCTCAGTGTAAACAATTGGCTCAATGCTGGCTGAGTGTAATTGGGACTGGAACATTAGCATAGCTGCAAAATGTCGCTGAACAGTTTTACAGTTGGCAGAGAAATCTAGACAGCAGTGGAGTAGTATATGTTAGCATATTCACTTTTTCTAAAGCATTTTATCAACTTGCATGGTCATATTCAAATCTGAATAACAATTGAAGCTGGTTAAGGAGTACAAAAGTGTTTAGCAAAGTGTTTTCCAAGAAACCATGGTGAATTCTCCCCCACTGTTATCCTTGAAATCACATTATTCATTGTTCCTGGGAGTTCAGATGATAACCATTAAAATGTTCACTGCAGTGACAATTTGTCTGCCTGGGACTTGTCTATGACACTAGCCTCTGTGATTTTTTTCTGGGCATCAGGCCCCCTGGATTTGTGACCATAATGGTAGGTCATTCTGGGCAGATATGAAGTAAGTTGGAAGTCTCATTTCATCTTGCTTGTATGAGAGAAATGAAATGGCTTCTCAGATAACAGTTTTTAAATTAATGTAATTAAATTGTGTGGACACACACTCTTATTCTGGTTTAAGAGTGGATTGTTATTGTATAATAAAATTGGATATACATTCAATGGAAATGAATGTGGCTTTAACCAAAATAAAAGCATCCACACAGAGGCACATCCACACAGAAGAATATGGGGCAGGGTTACCAAGTCTAGTACCCTGCATTCACAGGAAATTGTTAAATGAAAGAACCCCCATATTCACCACTTCTTACCCTCACTGACAATTGCAAGGAACAATACCCAAAATATCAACAACATGCCAATGATAAAATCTGGGTGATGAAGGCACTGCCAGCACCTTGCTACTGCAGTAGTGAAGTAGTGGTTAACGTATGCTCGCAAGAGCTAACAAAAGGACCATGCCCTGTGCTATAAAGGAAAGTAAAAAAATACAACTTGTGTTAAATTTACCTAAAGGAAAAAAATCTTGAGTCTCTTTCCCCATTGACAGCATTTATAATTTCACACCTTTCACAACGTGAAAGGCCACAAACTGATTAAAGATCACTTCAAATTGGACATAAGGAAAACTTCTTTACGAGTCAAGTGCCAAGGGTCTGGTACAGACTCCCCCCAGAGATGGTACAGTCACCCACCCTGGCGATCATCAAAAAGCATCCCAATGCCCACCTTGCTGGGGTCCTCTGACCCCGGTAGTCTTTCCTGCCCAAGTGCAGGGGGCTGGAGCTGATGATCTTGTAAGGTCCCTTCCAGCCCCTAACATCTATGAATGTTTAGCCCTTCAAGGAAGAGTCTGGTTAATAACAGAATTGTCTACTACACTTTACCAGTAAGCACAAAACACTGTGGTAGGTGTTCTTCTGCCATTAAATGGACAAGAAAAAGTCCCAGGGGCTAAATACAGACATTCAAAAAGCCCAAGCCTGAATTGATTCAGTTTTTGCAGGTTAATCTAAGCTGCAAAGATTGAACCAATAAGCAAATGAGCAGACATTCACTTTTGATTCAGGAAATGCAGTCACATGCCTGTATTGGCTCAAGCCAGAAGCCAGGGAGCACTACAGCAGGGCTCTCTGGCACACAGGCAGCATGGGTTGTGTGTTTATTTCATCTTCCTGCTGCCCCTGAGGTCTCTGAGATTTGCAGTCCAGACTCACAGAAGCAGGACCCTGCAGGGTTACTCATCACTTCCTCTTCCTGCTTCCAGATGCCTCTGAGATTTGTAGTCCATAGTCACAGCCAGCACTAAGTAAGCCAGCAGAGTGGGGCAGGGCAGGACAGCTCTGTACTTGGGGAAAGGTGAGTTTAAGCCCCCTCCCTGGCCACAGATCCCAGGTGGGCTTTGCCAGGAGGGATAGTGAGCCAGCCCTTACTGTTCCAGCTAGGGAGCAGAGGGGTGGGGCCAGCCCTGCTCTTCGTAGCAGACAACACAGCCCACCCAGGGCTGAAAAGCATGTTGGGATGCTAAGGGACTATGATTTAACTTGAACCAGGAAGCGGTCTGGGACAGCATTTTCATAAACCGGTTTGACCTAAATCAGGTAAATCTGATACTACATTCAACCAGGTTTATCTTAAGCCAGTTTCGGCCATTTTAAAACAGGTTTATGTTCACTGAACTTCTGCTATGTTACAGGTTTAAACTAGCTTCTGATCATTTAAACCAGTTTATGTGTAACTTCTTTCCCTAGCTAGGATGGGAAAATTACTACCTTTCCCATCAAATTCACTGTTGCCTTTTACAGTGAAATTATTACTTTCAATTTTAAATCTATAAAGAAAGATCCCTTGTGTCTTCTGAAGGCCAATTTTTTTTAATGTAAACCTCAACCAAAATTATTATTAACAATTTGTGCTTATGTACTCCATTTTATCTGTCTCACATGCCTTTAATACATAGAACATGCAGGAGAACCATCATTATTGTTTTGCAAGGAAGTTAAGATACAGAATGGTTAAATTTACTCAAGGTCAGATGCTTCAACTGCAGCCCAGCATGTGCACATAAGTAGCCCTACTGAATGTAAATTGTAAATGTAAAAGCATTTACATAGGATGGTTTTGTGTTTTGCTGGATCAAAGCCAAAATCAGGAACAGAAGCCAGGTCTCTGAAGCACAGTCTCTCTCTCTAACTACTTCTCCCACTCCCCCACCCCTCCAATATTAGAAAATCAGTTCTAACAATCTTGCAGGAACTTGTATATTCTCTCTAGTGGTGTCTTATTTTCCTCTTCCTCAATAGGTTTAAAAGTTTACAGCTGGAATTCTTGAAAAGTCAAAATAGTTGACTGATATTGCCTACAGGCTGGACTCCACGTACTTTGGGGGCAGGATCAGCTCTTTGTATCTTTGTTCCCTGACAACAGACACCTATCATACCAATATTTTGAGGACTGCAGCAATCTGTGAATGTTTCACATTTCTAGATGAGTCAATGCAGCTGGTATGTGAAGAACTAAGATCACTGATCACATGACAAAGAACATGTTTAGTCTGTAAAGCAGCATTTAGAAATATGGCAAACTCCCTCTCCCTCTTTTCATCTTACAGCCCCTCTGTGATGCGAGATAATCATGTTAATCTCTTTCCTCTACTAAACAGAAGCCTGATTTGGAGTTGGATTATTTTTATAGTACCTAATTAGGTAATTCATATTTGCAAATGCTTACACACCAATGCAAAAACAGTCTGATTGTAATAACTAAGCAGTTCACTTCACTATGTATTTGACAGAAACAACAACAGACTTTTGATTTAACTATCTGATTATGAATAAAAGTTGATTGGTCTTAATATATAATATAAATATACTGAACCAAATTGCAGAGAGCCCTAAAGTGCATATACTGTATAAACCGCAGATATTACACATCAAATGTAGCAGAAAACAAAAACCAAAAAAGGTTTAGGTACAGTCTGATAGATGGAACTAAAGTTACAGTCTGTATTACCTACAAAATTGTTTTTAAATGACAAATAAAACTTGTGATCTAATACTCTATCATGTTCATCTTTATTCTGTCTTCTGCCCAAATTCATACTAACAGAGCTAACTACCTCGTTGCTCATTATAGGAAAAGATAGATATCTGTACACCTCTAGGCAAGGGACATACATTACACATAAAACATATAAGGGAGCGGAAACTGGTTCAAATCTGTAACACAACAGAACTAGGGAAAGAAGTTACATATAAACTGATTTAAGTGATCAGAAGCTGGTTTAAACCTGTAACACAGCAGAAGTTCAGTGCAAATAAACCAGTTTTTAAATGGCTGAAACTGGCTTAAAATAAACCAGAACGTAGTATGTTGAATGTAGTATCAGATTTACCTGATTTAGGTCAAACCGGTTTATGAAAATTCTGTCCCAGACCCTTTCCTGGTTCAAGTTAAATCACAGTCCCCTAGCATCCCAACATGCTTTTCAGCCCTGGGTGGGCTGTGTTGTCTGCTACGAAGAGCAGGACTGGCCCCACCCCTCTGCTCCCTAGCTGGAGCAGTAAGGGCTGGCTCACTACCCCTGAACTCTGGCTCCTGGTGGAAGAAATAACAAATCTATCCACTGTCAGTAACCAAAAGAGGTTGAGAAGGATTTTAAGAACTTCTCTCTCAACCAGAGAAGTGTGAGTCCTGCTCCGAGCACCTGCTAGGAAAAAGAAATAAGTAGGCTGGATCCAGCCAGAGGCTCCAGAGAAGGTGGATTCAATCTGTGCTGAGAGTAGCTCTCAGAGATTTAAATAACCCCAGGAAGAGGGCAGTGGATCCCGCATAAGCTGGAGTTTCGGGCATGAATGTCACAAATTGAGCATTAAGACCTGAAACAGTAAAGATGTTGAGGAGCTGCTTTTTTTCATTTCTGTTTCCTTTCTATGGACTCAGAATATAAGTTCTCACAGACAATGCAACTGATTTCCAGTTGATTTGCATAATATAATGTGTATATATTGTGATTTTTAATTGTTTATTTATACTGTTTTCATTCATTGTTTGTTTTGCATTTGTGGTAGTACAATTTTGGATATTTTTTCTGTTTTATTCTGATTCATTATTACAAGCCAACTTTAATGCCAATTATTCTGTACTAGGTGCTGCTGGTATATACATATAGTAAACCTAGAGGAGTTGTGTAAAAATATTGCAAAATCCTTACAATAGAACATATTCAAACCCTTGAACTTTTTTCCTGGCTCAACATTCTTATTAGTTAAGATGCCCCAGGCATGGGTTTTTTTGCACAAGGCCTTTTTTTTTTTTTTGGAGTCCCTGCCCAGCCATCCTCCTGACTAGTTACCTTCTCTTTGCCGTTGATCCATCAGTAGCTGCCTATTCCTTCTTTCCTTCTGCAGCTGTCCTGTGTCACTTCGCTATGCATACGCTGCTGGCTGTGCACTGAAGCTTATTGCCTCATGGAGCTATGCACAGAGAAGGAGGGGGAAGGGCATGACAGATAACTAGAGAAGGGAAGTTGAAAAGCAGGACCGCAACCAGAGAAAAACCTACACGAGAAAGAGGGGGAGAGAAGGAGACAAGCAATGAAAGAATAAAAGAATGAGACAGGCAGAAAAGGGGGGAAAGGTGTGAAGGTGAAAAGAGAGGTGATCAGACACCAGAGTGGTGTAGTTGGCCTGTGAGACACAGGGATGGACAAATTAATGAGAACAGAATAATCATAAGAAAGGAGAAATGGGTCCAGAAAGAAAAAGGAAAACAAAGGGGAAAAACTGGTACAAAAACCTTCTAAATGCCTGAATTTCAACATACACATTGCCTGTTACATCTTTGTGTCATGTCCTTGGAAGACATCCCACTGTTCTGCTAATTTAGGCTGGTGTCTGGTACTTTTGTTGATTAGCCTTGGCTTAACGCCTCTCCCATTAGGAATCTAAAGTCAATAGGGCAAACAGTGTATTGCTATTATAGAACATTTTTCATTGAATTTCAAGGGTTTTTTTTAATTCCACCCAGAATATGATTAATACTAAAATGTTTCAACAAAAACAACCCAATTCCTTTATTTAGTTCAATTGTGACTTAGCTTAACCTAGCCACAGCTCTCAGGCTTCAATGCCTAAACATGAGACACTGGTTTTCAATACAAGTAAAAAATGCTTTGGTTCAAAAATATTCCCAGAGAGGAAGAAAAGACAACAAGGAAAAAAATGAAATGATGTCAGAATTTATTTGTGTGTACATTTAAAGCACCCACAGTTTCAGAATCAGTATTTATGGCCATCCCTATGGTGGAAACTATAAGTTTTGTTGACAAAAACTTTATTAGGGCTTCAAAGGAAGAAAGAGTTGAAAGAAGGGATTGAATACAAACCCCTGTCCTTCAATGCAGGCAGAAAAAAAATTATCCCCCCCCAGTTTTGGAGCAGTGATTGGAGAGAGCTCTTCTTTCATTTCAATCTGATTTAGCAACTGAGCTTGATAGAGC